AGGGTGATCGATGAAAATGAAAACAGGCCAGTTAGCCCATCATGATGAATTCATCAGGAATTAAAGCATGATAGTTTCTAGGGGGAACCGCGAGGTCGATCTGGTTGGGTATATTGCTAGCAATGGAATTCTCAGTCTCATGTTTGATATAGATATAGTTTTTTTTTTTTTTAATGATAATGGAATACAATAGTGGAATATATAACCCCGTCTACGCTATCATTGATGACAGGGTACAAATGAGAAATGATAGATGGGGCTGAAATCAGGTCAGTTGGAGTTCTTCAAAAAAGGAGTAAAGAGGTCGACAGATCCTTTCAACATAATGGCAAAACTCATTTGTTTTGCTATCAACTTGTAGAGAAGCCGAGTATGTTTGAATTCAACATAATAATAGATGCGAGCCTACCATCACTAGTATTTCACACGCGAATTTTGACAAATAACTAGTAATATATTGATTGACCAGAATAAAAATTGCTCTATGTCCTTTTCCACCATCATATCAGGCATCAACTGTCCACTGCTGAACAGAGACCTCTCCCTATTGAGGGTTTTGCTAGATGCCACGCTTGGTAGACGTGATGGTAACCGCAGCTAGGCGTGTTATTTCTGCTGCCCATCCCTCACCCATGAAAATCCCTTAGTCGCCTCTTACGACACCCACAGGAAAGGAGGGGGTGGCCAATTTCATGCCGGAACCAAACGGCACTACCAAATACGAAATGTCATTAAATTTCGTATCCTTGAACCATAAGCTGCCAAAAAACTTACTTTCACATTTTATAATAATACCAGTAATTATTTTTCTGGCCTGATCGAACTTGCTTTTTAATAAACAATTCATATGCAAGTGTTGTGTCGCACAGCTGTCCGAATAAGTAACGAATTAATGACATGTTTCAAATACATTGAATATTCATATCCCGCTGTCTACTTAAAGGGAACTCCCATACAGAGTAAACCATTGACAAAAGAATAAAAATTCAGATAGAACCGACACTGGCGTTAATTTAAATTCACTGAAACGCTTTAACGACACATTGCAAGCAACACAGTTAGAGGAAGCGTCCCGTACACTCGCGAGTGTAAAAAATAAATTTGTAACAAACCTGGTAAGGAAAAAATTGGTACTTCACAAACACGACTATTATTTGTACCGAGTCTATTTATTCTTATGCCATCGACAGACCATCGTCACGTGCGCTCCAGGCCACGATTGCTCAATGGCGACTCCTTTTCGCATTGTATTCATTGATTGATCACTAATTGATGAATGTTTACGATGGCCCAGTTAGCAGTTGGCAGGTCAGGCGGTCGCTTTCTACAAAAGGGTTGCTTTTTACCAATTTCCAAAAGGTAGAGGATTTCAATTAGTCTAAAATTTACGTACCTGCATTATGCATTACGTCAGTAATTAATAATTAAAAAAAAAAATATAAACGCAATTTGGGATACTATAGATCTGAGTCTTTGAAATATAGTGCTAAAGAAGAATGGAGAAAATTAACTGTAAAGATCGAATTAATAATAAGGAGGTCCTATCTAGGGTTAAAGAAAAGAGACAAATTATAAGAACTATGAGGTCAGATGGGAGAAAATATTAGGACACTTGATAGGACACGAGGAACTTACGAACATTATAATAGAAGGAAGGAGGGGAAGTGGGAGACCAAGATATAGTTACATCAGGTAGATCAAGGAAGGAGTCGGTGTCGTATCGTATCAAGAGGTGAAGAGACTCGCTGAAAATCATAGTGAGTGGCAAGAGCTCCACCGACAAGAACGCAGGCCCTCTAGACAAGTGGCAAGCAAATTTGTCAATGGAATCGACATCGCTAGCGAGTCTGTGAGATAGAATGAGATAGCAACACCAGATAACTCACTCCATTTGTCTAGAGGCTCAGTAGGGCCTCTGTCGTCGTCTGTCTGTTCTCCTCGGTCTGGTCTTGATAGATATATAGCATATAATAGAATTTGAACTTGAATAGAATAGACAGATATATAATATATAAAATAAAATATATACACTCCTCGCAAAAATTAAGGGAACATAAAAATTTTTGAAATTTTTGGGTGATTTTCAACAGGCTGTATTACAGTGAAAAATAATCGTACAGGAAATTTAAAAAAAGGGTTTTGAAGCTTGAAAACTCTAGTTTTCAGATTTTTTAGTGAAAAAAATTTTTGAGCTCCGGTTTCCATGCAATTCTTAAACAAAGCTGAAAATAAATTTTTTCTAAATTTTCTAGGTTTCGTTTTTCACCCTATGGGCATGGAAAAATTTTTTCGAGCTACTCCATTGTATAGGTCTCTTAGCGTGTTTATTCAGCTTCAAAAATCGCTTTGGATGGCTCAATTACGACCATTTGTCTCCGAGATATCGAACTTTGAATGCAAAAGCATCCTTTTCCATTCAACTGCTAATATCTCTGGAACTACTGGTCGCACAGCAAGCGGGCGCCGAGTTTCTTTATCTGCATAAAATTTTCTTGATTTTTTTCGATTTTTTTTTTGATAATGAATTTTTAAAAAACAAAAAATTGAGTAAAAAGTGAAAAACAAATGAAATTATTGATTTTTGAATGGATTAGGGTGAGTTTAAGGGACAAAAACCTTGTTCCCTTATTTTTTCCAAAATTTCAATCAATTGGTCCGGGAAAAACCGTTGAACTGATCGCTCCAGGGAGTTAGTGGGTTCTTTAAGGAACAATAGACTGTAAAATTTTCCTCAAACCTTAGCTTTCCCGCCCATATTAGCGAAGATACAGCCAAGTAACCAAAAAAGAGAAAAAGTCACTTTTTTCCACTTTTTTCAATTCAATGTTAGAGGTGGAAAAAAATTTTTTCTTCACTAACTCTTGACTGTGCTTAATTGGAAATTTTATTCAGATAAAGAAACTCGGCGCCCGCTTGCTGTGCGACCAGTAGTTCCAGAGATATTAGCAGTTGAATGGAAAAGGATGCTTTTGCATTCAAAGTTCGATATCTCGGAGACAAATGGTCGTAATTTAGCCATCCAAAGCGATTTTTGAAGCTGAATAAACACGCTAAGAGACCTATACAATGGAGTAGCTCGAAAAAATTTTTCCATGCCCATAGAGTAAAAAACGAAACCTAGAAAATTTAGAAAAAAATTATTTTCAGCTTTGTTTAAGAATTGCATGGAAACCGGAGCTCAAAATATTTTTTCACCAAAAAATCTGAAAACTAGAGTTTTCAAGCTTCAAAACCCTTTTTTTAAATTTCCTGTACGATTATTTTTCACTGAAATACAGCCTGTTGAAAATCACCCAAAAATTTCAAAAATTTTTATGTTCCCTTAATTTTTGCGAGGAGTGTAGTAAAAATATTCAGACTCACTGATAGAACGCTCCCTTAAAATTGTGCTAACATCGATATCACCCTGTATAATAAGACACCGGCTTAACTGATTCAGATACTGAAGCCTTTAAATCTCTACTTGGCGTCTGAAGGACAATCCCAAAATCTCATCGTATTGCAACAAGAAGCGTCCTCATATAAAATGTATAAATCCCTCGGCGCAGAAGCAGTAAATATTCATTTGCGACGATCGCGTTACCCCTGATCTGAAGTTGTTTAAACCTCTCGTTATGAGGTATATTTATATTTATGAGTTAAAAACAAATATATAAAAAATAATATATTAAATTAACAATATTTGAATTTTTCTCTTGTGGTCCCGGCATAGAATAGGCCACCCCTTGCTTTCCCGTAGGAGTCATTAGAGGCGACTAAGAGAGGGCGAAGGATGGACAGCAGCGTCCTTTATAAAACAACTCTAATGCCTAACTGCGCTTGCCAATCCGCCTGCTAAACGTGGCATCTACTGGCAACCCCAAAGTAAAGGGGGAAGCTTATGTCCAGCAGTGGACAGTTAAAGACTAATATGTTGATGATTAAAATTTACCAAACGTGTGCCTACAAGGGTTACTCGCAACAATCAGTTTTTTTTTTAATTGCCCAAACTTCAACTGTCTCAAAATTTAAATTGGACGAACACGGGAGTAAATTCAACCCTCCCAATAGGGGGAAAGGGATTGTTAATAACCGAGTGTAATGGCCCTATTGCTAGCAATATAATCTATCAGGTCGACCTCCACGCAGTTCCCCCTGGAAACCATTGTTATTAAGTCTCACTGAATTCGTCACAATGGACTAACTGACCTACTTTCATTCACACTGGAGTCCCGCCAGTGTATACCGATATCGCAGGCGGGGTTACCATTTCATTATCAGCCATAAAAATCTTACCAATAGGGATATAAGAACCCCTTTAATACGGAATTCTAATAAAATACATTAATTTAAATTGCAAAACGCATTATGGACAATTCGAGCAGCAATAATGCAAACTCAATAGTTCAAGGTGAAGTCAGTGTCAAATAATAAAATCGAAAACAATGTAAATATATTCTGAACAATGTAAATGTATTTATGGAATAACACCCCTGTCCGTACCTATATATATATATATATATATATATATATATATATATATATATATATATATATATATATATATATATATATATATATATATATATATATATATATATATTACCGTAGCACAGCACGACATCGAACGATTTTACGGTAGGTCGTGACCAAATAGAGAAACTAAACATATGTAGATGTACAAAGACGATTTAACATTGAAAAAATTAACAATGTCTAAGATAATAAAATTGCATATATTTTTTGTACCCTTCCATATCGAGACGAAAATCAAACGATATCATGTCATTGAACTAAACGTATAGTACTTATTAGATTACATTTATGTTATACCAAAAGATAGATAGATAGATAGATTACTCTTTATTGTTTCCTCCAAAAGATTACAGTAGTAACCTTATTATAAATATAAACAATTACAAGAAATGATCACAGTGAGAAATCAATGTGCAGCTTTGTAGCTACAAGCGATTTCTTCCAGGCAACATTTGGATAGAGAGGAGTAATATGTTTTAACTTACCAGGTTGTGAATGTCTCTTGGGTTCGGTGACAGCGGTCGGCGACATGGGCTCGGCACCGCGAGACACGATCCGCCGCAGTTCAGCGTTGTGGCCCGGTGTGTCCACCTTCCACGGCTTGAGTTCCTTGATACCGTCCGCGTGGACTTCCAGCATGAATGACTCGATTAATTCCTTGCCTGGTAGATGGACAAACGACATTTTAGATATCACAAAATGCTGACAAGGGCATTCGACAAACTCAAATATTAACAAGAAAAATTTAACCTAATAGATATCAAGGGTAAAGGAGAAGACAAGCCTTACAATATAAGGTACTTGCTTCTACCCACAATTTCATTCGCGTGAGTGGAATATGTTCACAAAACGAATTTTATAATAGTTTTTTTTATGCAACTTAGAATGGCAAACAAGCTGACGACCCACCTGATGGAAAGTGGTAACCGTCGCCCATAGACATGAGCAATACCATGAATCATGGTTGCTCCCATGCGTTGCCATTACTGAGGACTCAGGTATTATTCGTCTGTACCCTGTAAATTCACTACCATATTCCACCCTTCAAACCGAAACACAGCCATGCGAACACAACAGCTTCACGGTAGAAACACGAATGGGACAGAGGTACCCAAGTAAACGACTTTTGTACAAAGTCTCTTTTTGTATTAAAGTACTTTGTACAAAAGTCTTGGTTTAGCTGTTAAGGCGCCAAGAAGTAACAAACAAACTTCCTTTCACATATATAACAATAGTAAGGTTATTTAGATGGGTCTCTGCATGGTCCTCGCTAGGACCCAACGTGGTTTTTTTTAATGGATGATAATGGAATGATATCCCCGCTTGCGCTATCGGTATACGCTGGCAGAGAACCAGTGAGGGATGATAGGTGAAAATGAAAAGGCAGGTCAGATAATCCATCGTGATGAATACACCTGATACAGCCCGATGGTTTTCAGGAGGGACTACGTGGAGCTCGACCTGATAGGGTATATTGCTAGCAATGGAACTGATAGTCCGCATTACTAACCCCCCCCCCCCCCCCCAAGCCAACATGGTTAACACGAATTAATCGCGATGAGCTAACTGACCTGGCTTCGTCTTTACCTATCCTCCATCAGTAGAACTATACCAGCGTTTACAAATACTGCAGGCAGGATTACCGTCCCATTTTGGTCTAAAAACTATAAGAATATATGGAAACAAATATAACTTCGGTGCCACACAAACAAAACTAAAAGTTTATTTGGCCCCAACAGAAAACTGATCCGATTAGACGAGGAGCTTACTCAATTAAGACTATTTATTTATTACTTTATCTTCAGTGAGAACACTTTTATACTTACACGGGCTTGTTTTATTACATAATTTTTATTTCGCTACAATATTAACATTATCGAAGAGGTAAAGGTAAAAGTTCTTTGATCTACACAAAAAAAAAAATACAATTTTATTTATTGTTTTTCAGTTCCTTTGATGTTGTTTCGCTGTTTTTGTTAAAGAGTTATTATAATATTTATCCGTGTAAAGTACTTATAAAATTGTAGGAAAATTTTTTGCTTAATAACATAATTTTTTTTTTTGTTTATTTGAAATTCAAATTCATATCATCTTTATTTAAATAGACTCGTTTACGAGCACTTTTAAATCGTCATTTGTTTTTTAATCTACTGCAGGGTTCGGAAGGTTGCTATCTGTTGAGAAGAGCCCGCAAGAAACTCAACAGTTACTCTTTTAAATCTCTGTTAACATTATGTGTTATTTATTTAAATGTACTATGTCTAAAATTGCATGGCCATTAAAAAGCCCGTGCATGTTCGACTAACACCGTGCACGCTTGTCATTCAAGTAAACGTTTAGAGTATAGAGAGCTTATTATAACATTTTTGTTTGATGTGTGAAAATGCTATGGTAACCCCGCCTGCGCTAACGGGATACGCTGGCGGAGCACCAGTGAAGGGCGATAGATGAGAATGAAAACAGGCCAGTTAGCCCATCATGATGAATTCATTAGGAATTAACCATGATAGTTTCCAGGAGAAACCGTGAGGAGGTCGACCTGGTTGGGTATATTGCTAACAATGGGATACCCAGTCTCCATTACTTACAATCCCTTTCCCCCCTATTATAACATTTAATGGCCATTCCCATTTTGCTACCATATATTAACGGCGCTAATCAAACATAATGTAGTTTAACATTCAAGTAAATTTGAGGTTAAAGAAAGACATATACTGTTCCAGCAAACGATTTTCTGCCACATAATTTTTTTCTGGACAGAACCACCCTAATAACTTAGCGGTATAAAATACACTTTACAACCTATTTCAATACCTACCAAATATACATAAAGAAATGCATAAAAATCGGTCGAGCCGTTTCGAAAGACTTCGACCACAGACACCGTGACACGAATTTTTATATATAAAATTTTATCCCGGCCAATAGATAAACCCTGGGGGCAAGTGTCGTTCAACTGTCACGTGACCGCTGACTGGCTGGTTTATAGCGTTCATAATATGAATTAGCAGGGGGGAGAGGGGATTGATAGTAATGGAAATTAACAAACCCATTGCTAGCAATATGCCCTATTAGGTCGACCTCCACGCGGTTTCCCCTGGAAACTATTGTGATTGTTATATTGTTAGTCACGATAGGCCAAGTGACCCGCTTTATCCTCACCTATCATCCCTCACTGGTGCCCGGCCGGTGTATACCGTTAGGCGCAGGCGGGGTAACCATTCCATTATCATCCATTAAAAAAAATATGAATTAGCAAGGCAGTTCAATTTACGCCGTTATCCGCCTGGAAATAAGGGTTCATATACGACCTCTGGTCACGAGAACAAAAACTAGTTGTAATATATACAAAGAAAGGTGAAAGAAACTGACCTTTGGCAATATTCGCCGCGTACTGTTTCATGGCTATCTTCTCCACCGTGTTCTCCAGACCGAAGAAGTTCTTCACGTCGAGGGTCGCGCTCTGTTCGAAGCACGTCCACTCCGAGTTCTCGGGGTGTACCTGTCGCGATATAATTATTTTTTATACAACAGCATACGGCAAACAAGCTGACGGCAAACAACTACCTAACGGAAAGTGGTAACTGTCGCCTATAGACATGAACAGCTCCAGGGCCTTTACAGAATAAATATACTGTGACGACCTTTTCAGTTTATTAGTCTTTTTAGTTTATTAGTCAGTTTATTGATATAATTACATCACAAATTACAATACGTACTCTAAGTAAAAAATTTCACTATCCAAATTTTCAGTCTAATATTTATGATTCCTGAATGCAAGGACACACTGTCCTTGTCCTTACTGTCTTAACTTATAAATGTAAAAGTAAAAAAATCTAATAATTCATTTGCATATATATGTATATATATACGTTGTTTTACCATATACATTATTTCGGGAACTATACATGAAAATTTATCCTACTACAATTATTATATTCGATTGCCGTCTTGCAACCGTATTGCGAAATATAAAAATCGCGATTAACAGGCGTTGATCGTAAAATGGTGAAAATTTGAGGGTCACCCTTTTTATTGAGGGGTATAAAAAATAGATGTTGGCCGATTCTGAGACCTACCCAATATGCACACAATATTTCATAAAAATCGGTAAAGCCGTTTCGGAGGAGTTTGGTAACAAATGTATGTAAATGTATAAAAAAAACTATTTTGTAATTTACCGGTAGCCTAGATTCCTAGCTTTACGGTATATAATAAATCCTCTAATGAAACAATCTATAAACATTTGAACGCTATATTATCTTTTCACGAGAAGGAAAAACAATCACAGGATTGAGAGGTGGCTGGGAATTACAACGAGGGAGAACAACTGTAAAAATAAAAAATGCGGCATAACATACTTTAATATATAAAATTATATATTTTTTTTAAAAGGACGCATACCGATTTGGAAATTTCAAAAATTAAATATGCTATCATCATATTATATATTATATAAGCTTCCCTTTGGGGTTTTTCTAGTAGTTGCCATGCTTGGCAGGTGGATTGGCAACCGCAGTTAAGCTTTAGAGATGTTTCAAGAGGGACGCTGCTGCCAATCCCTCGCCCTCCCTTAGTCGCCTCTTACGACACCCACGAGAAAGGAACGGGGTGGCCTATTCTATGCCGGGACCACACGGCTACTTTTATTACATTTACATGCAAACTTTTGGGTTAACCCTTTTTTGCATAATGGTGGAAATTTCCATCATAACATTGAATGCCCAAAAATTATATAAAAGACCAAGTTCACTTTAAGTTGATCGTGTCTGGATACCTTTTTAATATACATTGCAAAAACCAAAACATAGTTGTCAAATTTACTTTTTTAACCATTTTTCCTTTACCTTGATTTATTTCACCGATAAAAAAAAATCATGCAAAGAAGGATTATATGGATAGGCTCGTGAAAATAAATATAATCGAATATAATCGTCATGAAAAAAAAAATATTGATATAAAACAATCAGGATGTTATTTTAAGAAACAGTGGGCGGTCCCGAATGAATACTTGAAAGAAAAATGATACGGGAAAGTAGATAATTAAAAATAAATGGGCTATCATCAGAAAGGCATAATTTACTTTGACAGGCACACTTTCTGATTTCGTGAATAAATTATCAAGATTACAATAAAGAACAGTAACGGCTGTGACAATGCCTTTTCAATGTGAAAATTTTTCGAATCGAAAATTTAGATTTCTTTTTTTATTATTGCTTAGTTATGATTAAATTACTGGCTTATAAAACAAAAAATTTACCTAACTACCACTAGGTAAGAATAGAGTTCTTTGGCATTCAGTTCTCTCAGCCAACCCCGAAAAGGATTTAGCGTGAAGATAGACATAGGATAGGCACCTAAACTGAGCACACTCACGTATAAAATTAATAACATTTATTCACCTCTTCACAATTGGTGACCATGAATTTGTATTATTTAATCGTTGCTGTCAATATCTGAACTTTAGCAACATGGATTTTAATTATTTTATATATCAATTAACTTAACTTTATGCACACTCATTATTATATATGGTTTCTTTCATACATGCGCATATATTACTTGCATACTTATATTACTCTAACTTGCCTACCTCGTTTTGGAAATATAATTTTTGTTTGTATAAATAAAATCCGTCATTATGTATTCATAAGAGACTTAGTATGTAAGTTATTTTTTAAGAGCTGTAGATTATTGTATAAAATAAAAAAAAAATGTATAGAAAGAAAGAATAAAGAAATAATTTAATCAAAGAAGCATGCGGCCCACACAGTAGCGCACAAAACAAGAACAAAAGAGATTAAAACAAAACAAACAATAGAAAATAGATAAAATAAAAATGCGCATAATATTTAATACACATTTTTTTTTATGACAATGGAATAGACTCAACTGGTAGATGATAGGTTAAGACGAAGGCGGGTCAGTTGGTCCATCGTGTAGAATTTGACTAGAATTAACCTAGATGGTTTCGAAGAGGAACCATGTGGAGGTCGACCTGATAGGATATATTACTAGTAATGGCAAATGGCAAAGAATAGGCCACCCCCTCCTATCCCATGGGTGCCGTAAGAGCCGACTAAGCCCCAAATTACATAGAATTAATAATACGACTAAGGGAGGGTGAGAGATGGCCAGCATCGTCTTAAAACATCTCTAAAACATGACTGCGGTTGCCAACTCGCCTGCCAAGCGTGGCAACTACTGACAAAACCCTCCGAGAGGCTTATGTTCAGCAGTGGACAGTTAAACTAATATGAATGGGGCTATTAGAACCCATTACTAACAATTCCCTCCCCTCTCTCCCCCATAAACATTTATTAGTGAAATGGAAGCTAATTGTCATTATGTAGATAACGTGACAGGCGTGTCTGGAGTTTGTCTTGTTTTATTGAATTACGGCGCGGAGAAGTGGCTATATTTCCACTGTACCGCCTTTATTACTGGAAACACGGCCACTTGAGAGGTTAAGTACTTAGTTACAGCGAACCACTCTTAAGGGAGACGAGGAGACGGAAATTAACGCTATCATTTATGTAAACTATGAGAACGAGCTATGAGAATTGTCGATGATCCCAGGCTTGCAAGCGGTATCGAACCCTTAAGTCTTAGGAGAGATTTTGCTTCACTCTACGTGTTCTACCGCTTATACAACGGATTGTGCTCAGAGGAATTATTCAATATGATGCCTGCGGCCACTTTCTATCATCGTACGGCTCGCCATCGACAGGAAGTTCACCCTCATACCTTACAGCCTAAATGGTCGCGTACAACGCGGTTTCAGAGATGCTTTCTCCCACGAACACTCAGGTTATGGAATTAGCTCCCTGCCGACGTTTTCCCAAGAGACTACAGCATGAGGTTCTTCAAAAGGGGGGTAAAGTAATACCTCTGGTATTGCAGGCGTTCATAGGCTACGGTAACCGCTTACCATCAGGTGGGCCGTATGCATGTTTGCCACCTCAGTGGTATAAAAAAAAACTATAATAATTTACCAGGTTTGTGTCAACTTTTGGACAAGTTTACGAGTCGTAGTATGCCTACTATAATTTCACTAATGTGAAAGCGATGCGCCAGTGAGAGATGATAGAAAAGGATAAAGGCAGGTCAATTAGCCCATTCTTCACTGGTGCCCCGCCGGTGTATACCGATAACGCGGGTGGGGTTATCATTCCATTATCACCCATTAAAAAAATGTCTCTCAGAGTCTTGTAAGTGTTAGGTAAACAAAAGCTCGCAACGTACGTTTAAGGTGTAAACAGCTGCGCACATGTCACAGTGCAGTCTACGAGATTTGAGAGATTCCATTATCACCCATTAAAAAATATCTGTGGTTGCCAATCCGCCTGCCAAGCGTAGCAACTACTGGTAAAACCCCCCCAGAGGGAGGCTAATGTTCAGCAGTGGGCATTTAAAGGCTGACATGATGTTGATGATGATGATGAATGTATATTTGTATAGAATCATATTGTTATCATATTGTTAAACATTATGATTCATGTAAAGTGAGTTTTTTAACGTCCCAAATCCTTGTCTTGAGCATAGATTAACATTACGAAGGATTTGCTAATTACCATTATAAACGGATTAAGTATTAATCCCTATCTTAATTAGCAAATCCTTTGACACAATCTAAAGTAATGTAGGAAGGCAGGAAGAAGAGCCATATTAAAGCAAGACTATAAAGTACTTTTGCTGTAGCTGAAGTAAAAGAAAAAGATTTCGCAAAAAGAATTTACTTCATTTGTGACAAAACTATTAATTTCAATTAAAAAATTACTGAATCGATTTTGATAAAATTTCTACAGGACCATAGCTTATCGGATAAAAACAAAATCCCAATCGGTTTATAATTGACAGGATTATGAGGTTACCACTCAGCCCTCCCTATTTCCTACCAGATTTATTTGTGTCATATATGTATTTTAGTGTTGTATATTTGAATGTATTTGTATTTATATATATCTTTATGTATGTATATGATTTTTTAACATTCCTGTAAATTATTGACGCCCATTAATTCTTCTCTTTCCGCGTCTAGGGAAAGTAGATAAAGTTTTGTTTGAGAAATCAGTTCAGGGTACGATAAGGCTGATATACCTGAAGAAGGTAAAATCACTTAAAATAATAATAAAAAAAAAATGATTGTGCTTACACAGATATTTATTATTTTTATATTATTTTTACAAATCAATTTTATTTTAAGGCGCCACCTACCTATTTATTCTTTCTTTCTACCCAAAGGTTGTCTGGAAGAAATTGCTTAGCAATAAGACCAGAGGGAGACTTTGTACAAAAGTGTTTCGGTTTGAAGGATGGAATATGGCGTGAAATTACTGGGTACAGAGGAATAACACCTGAGTCCTCAGCAACGCATGGGGGGTATTATGGGCGAAACAGTATACTCTGTTATGTCCATGGTACTGCTCATGTCTATAGGTGACGGTTATCACTTTCCATCAGGTGGACCGTCAGCTTGTTTGCCATTCTAAGTTGTATAAAAAAAAGACCGCCTTTTGCACTACACTATAATTATTGAGAATTGTTCAACAAATCCTGTAATATTGGTGTAATAAAGTGTTAAATAAATAAATTTTAAGGTGTTACCTCATATCTCAATAAAAAAAAAAAACAACTGAATCGATAACCTTCTTCTTACTAAATTCGCTTGATTTGAGGATTACTCTTGACACAATAAGGTTTTAGGTTTCAAGTTAGATAGTTCCTATTACCAAAATTGCTTTGTGCTTAAGTGAATTAGTAAGTAGTATTGTTTAGTTATAATTATAATAGTAGATAACTTGTTTAGATTTTATGGCATTGGCAAAAACAAAAATCACAAATAAAACGTAAATTAAAAAAAAAGAAGAAAAAAAAGTTAGCGAACACATAAAAAAAAAGGATGCCAAAGATCGATTTTCATCTTGATACACACTAACTATTTGATCAGGCTATTATTGTTTTGCCCCTCTACCGCTATCTATCGAGTACATTTTTTACACAACAGAATTTCATTTAAATCAGTTGAACGGTTTCGGAATTTATCGTGAACGAATTTATTCCGACACGAGACCTATATATTAAAGATGGATATAAAAAAGATTCCGTGAAAAGGAATAACAAAATGTTACCAGTATTGAATAATATTCCTTTATCCCTTTGCCGGTATCTTCAATATTTATGTTTTGTTTTCCTTTGCCTTCGAATACTTTTGTCAATTGTCACTACATATATATATATATATATATATATATATACACATATATATATATATATATATATATATATATACACACATATATATATATATATATATATATATATATATAGCTGTAAAAATTAAATTCACAAAGAAACTTGGAAAAATTATAATTTCAATTATTGTCAGTATTCTATGACGATATATAATATATAAATAAATAAATTCTTAAGATTTTATTGCATCTGTAACCTATTAATCTGCGGAATAGTTAACGGAGCATCCATACACACATATAAAAACAAAAATCCGAAAACACGGGCATATCACCTTCATGTCTTCAACTATTGAAAGCCTCATATAATGTACGATTGTACTACACAATAAAATGTTACAAAGAAACAAACTTCTTACATATTAATTAACATTATCTCGTGAGTTCATGAGCAATGTGATCAAGGAAGTAGTCGGTGGGCACGTGTGGAGCCGCCGCGCATATACCATGATAAGGAAAAACAACCACTTAAACACAACATAGTAGCTATTCTAATATGAGTAGAATATTATAAATAGGCGTTCGTGTTAGCCGTTATCAAACACCGGACCACAGATAACGTAATACTTAGACTAATAGAGAAGGACTAGCAGGTTTTCTGTCCACTCTATTAATAATAAAATTTATACGGAACCTACATGGGAATAAACCTCATAGACTACAAAGATTACAAATTTTGAGATTTTGTGTCAAAACAATGTCATAAAATCTTTCAGGACATCGATATCTGTCAAGACAACCTTTAAAACAAACGTACCTGACAACCTATACTGGATATGTAATTGGTACTTTTGCTCTTAAGTTTTATTTTCTATTTACTATAATAAATTATGTATGTATTAATTTATATAACTAATGAAAAGAAATTTAATGTACTCGTAGAATAGATGTAAATTTCTGACATAGTTAACAATTTGCACGCCGACATAGAGGCAGAATGTATATGGAAAATGTAAACCTCTTTCATCGAAAACTACCTACATTCTAGCAAAGTAAATTCATTTCAAACTTTGACTTAACCAAAATTCTGAGGTTTCGCGTTCTAAGACGTTTACTGACACATAGATGAAGGAATGAAGGAAAATGAAAGAATTGCCGTGTGGTCCCACAGCATCGAATACGCTACCCCTTCCTTTCCCGTGGATGTCGTAAGAGACGACTGGGAGAACTTAATGATCGAGGAATGAGCAACAGCGTCTCTCTTAAACATTATCAAAAACTGACTGCTATTGCCAATACGTCTGCCAAGCGTGGCAACTACTGGCAAAACCCTCCAAATATGAGGAGGCCCTTGTTCAGCAGTGGACTGTTAACGGCTGGTATGATGACGATGATAAAATAAAAAAATGCTTCAATTAGTCACTGCCACTTCTTTGGAAATCAGGTGAACATGCAAATGATTATGTTTTTGAAGAATTGGAAGTAATCTAAATATACACAAATATCTAAATTGCAAAATCCTTAATGTCTATCGATCAGTATTTTTTTATACAACTTAAAATGGCAAACAAGCTGACGGCTCACCTGATAGAAAGTAGTAACCGTCGCCTATAGACATGAGCAGTACCATAGACATAACAGAGTATACTGTTTCGCCCATGATACCCCCCATGCGTTGCCATTCCTGAGTACTCAGGTGTCATTCCTATGTACCCTGTAAATTCATTACCATATCCCACCCTTCAAACTGAAACACAGCCATGCGAACAAAACTACTTCATGGTTGAAACACGAATGGGGCAGAGGTACCGAAGCAAACGACTCTTGTACAGACTCCCTCTGATCAGTATCCTAGCTAGAACTAACTAGGTTAATTCCCACAGTGCTAAGTTGGTGGCAAAAAGTAAGACAATACTCACGTAATACCGACACTTCTCCACGACCCCCACCCTCGTGGAGAAAGTCTCATTAGTTGCCTCGATCTCGAGCACCCTGTTCTTCAAGTCTAAGTGGTTCTTTTGAATGAAGTAGATGTAGTCTACTCCAATCATCTGCAACAAAACAGTAAGTCTTTATAAGACGTAGTTAACTTTTACCTCTACCTTTCCCGTGAATAAAATAAGAGACGACTAAAGGAACTTAATGGTTAAGGGATGGACAGCAGCATCCCTCTTAAAAATCACCAAAGCCTAACTGCGGTAGATAACCAAATTGCCAAGCGTGGCAACTACTGGCGAATCCCTTCTTATGATGGGAGACCTACGTTCAGCAGTGATGATGATGAAAACTTTTTCCAGGTATGTATATTTCCTAGTTATCTTTTTTTATATACAACTTAGAATGGCAAACAAGCTGACGGCCCACCTGATGGAAAGTGGTAACCGTCGGCTATAGACATGAGCAGTACCATGGACATAATATACTGTTTCACCCATGAAACCCCTCATACGATGCCATTCCTAAGGACTCAGGTGTTAGTCCTCTGTATCCAGTAAATTTACGCCATATCCCACCCTTCAAACCAAAACACAGCATGCAAACACAACTGCTTCACGGTAGAAACACGAATGAGACAGAGGTACCTAAGCAAACGACTTTCGTACAAAGTCTATCTCTGGTGTAGTAAATAAAATAAAATAGACCATTTGCTGTAACTTCACAATTCGATTACCAGATGTGTATTGGAATTTGAAAGCCGAGAATATTGGAATATTTGAGATGTACACTTCTGGCAAAGTTAAATTCCGCAGTTATCCGAAATATAAGTTTAAATTAACGTACAAAAATTTCGGAATATTCAATGGCCTGAATCTTCACCAACCAAGCTGAGTGCCTATTGGAAATATAATTAGAATAAATCTGTAACCCATTTTACAAATCACAGTAAAGCTAAATCTCTAAGATATTAGTCATTCGTGAAGTCTATTCGGTTAGAAATTGGGCTGGCTTACTTATTGCCGTCCAAATCAAAACAAATCACGTATTACTTTTTCAAAGCAGATACATGTGTGTGCCCCGGCACAGAATGGGCCACCCCTTCCTTTTACGTGGGTGTCGTAAGAGGCGACTAAGGAAGGACGAGGGATGAGCAGCGGCGTCCCTCATAAAACATCTCTAAAAGCCTAACTGCGGTTGCCAACCCGCCTGCCAAACATGGCAACTACTGGCAAAACTTCCCTTATGGGGAAAACTTATGTCCAGCAGTGGACAATTAACGACCGAAATAATAAAATAATAGTAACATATAAGTAAATCGATATATAATACCAAGATGTAGCCAGACAGTACCCATGATTGTCCTTACCTTTTTTAACAAATACGGCGCTTCTACATTCAACTGACAACGCCTGGTGGTATGCCTTTGCGAGTCATCGGAAGACCAGCTATCATCCGTAATGGCGCACTCGATCACCACAGGGATCTGCGGGCAGCTCGGAAACCGTCTCTCGTATGCCTGAAACAAAATACATTACATTTCAATTATCGTAGTTTACTATGGTTGTTATGTTCTATCGGGCTTGGTGTAGTAGGCGTCACGGCTGTGGCTTACTGCCATTTCTCATAATACCATACCGTCGATCTTCACGCGATTTCATCTAGAAACCACCGTAATTATTGAATTCGTCATGATGGGTTAACTGGCAAATGACTCTTGTACAAAGTCTCCCTCTGGTAAAATCTGGACATCCTCATATCAATCGATAAATCACACCCAGAATAAAAATAAACCGTCATAATTATACGCAGCTTATTATAACCCAGAAGCCTATACTCCTAATAGTGCTTACGTCTAGAAATAGAGCGAAAGGCCACCGAGCTCACATCTAACCCTTATATGATATAAAGTTAGAGGTAAACATGTATATTAAAACGATGTAAATACCTTGTAAGCTAGATAGAGAACATTTATTTACATTGTATATGTAAATATTGTTTCAAATATAACATTAATATGATATATAGCTATATTAGAACGTGTTTTATCCCGTTGGAGGTTAACAAACAACATTACAGTATCGCTGTATCTAGAAATGCCTCGTTATTATTTACAAGGGTTAGGAAGACAATTAATGTATTACATGTGTGAGTGAGCTTTTGTTTGCGACTTCGTACGGGGGATTTTGGAAGTTTAACCCATTTAGTGTTTGAATATTCCAAACCTCTTTCTTACAATTCACCTACGCTATATAAAAAAAAACCTATTTACAAAATTTCAAGGTTCTAGTTTCGACAGTTTTGTTTGTTAGTTGATATATTTATTTATTTGGTTTATCAAAAGATTACAAACAAGACTTTTACTAATAGAATACAACAGTAACATTATAATACAGAGATGAAACAGCATATGTTGATTTCTAATGTAAAAAGAATGTTAATGAACTGTAAAAACTACACACAAAATAAGGTACAAAAACAAAACTACCAAATTATACCTATAAACTATTGGATTATCAGTGTATGCAGTGATGCGATGAACATTTCTAATAGAATAGAATGTCAAAAAACAATAAAACGTATCTATCTATATATATATATCATCATCATCATCATCTTCCTACCCTTAAGGATTCCTACCCTTAGGGATAAGGGTAGGAAGATGATGATGATGATGATGATATATATATATATATATATATATATATATATATATATATATATATATATATATATATATATATATATATATATATATATATATATATATATATATAAAACCAGCACATTAATTAATTATACAAATATTTTGTCCTTTTCTTATATCTGTCTGAACAACTTATTGAAAATGTTTTAATATCAACGTACTTCGATTTGAATCAGCTAAATTGTAATTTACATTTGATTTGCATCAGACTATTCTTTTACTGACTGCTTGATTGTTGACATAGTTAAAAAATAGATGACATTGTAGAAACAATGTAAAATGTCACATTTTCTATATCTGGAAAACTGACTCAGTTATAGTTTGCTGAAATTAATCAATTTCTATTCAATAGCATAAAAAACTTCCTACAAACCGATCATGAAATTATATTGATATATTTTCCCAACTTACGTATGTATGTATAAGTTTCAAGTAAATCAGCATACTATGGAGAGGGCTATGCTCGCAGTTTCTTTCCGTGATAGAATCCTAAATGAAGGTATCTACAAAGAAACCAAAGTGACCGACATAGCTGCAAGAATAAATAAGCTGAAGTCGCAATGCTATATAGTCACATAGCTTGAAGAATTAACAAGTGATGGAGAAGTTATTGAGTGGCAACCCCCTACAGACAAACGTAGTGTATGACAACCATCCAATAGGTGAAGCGATAACCTCATATACATTGCAGAGAGTTAGTGAATGCAGATGGCTCAGGACCATTCCTTATGGCAATCTGTGGAGGAGATCTCTATTCAGCAGTAGACGTTTAAAGTGGAGTGAATGAATTAAAAACCCTAAACATTGTATGTACATTCAAATACCCAAGTAAAAACTATCAAAGCAATGCGTACACTTTAAATAGATCATAATAGAATAGATAGCGTAGCCAACTTGCGTTATCTACACTCGAAACGAGAATACAACAATAAAGCATCTCGGAATAGGCCGTCAGGTCTTCGTTGTTTACTTTGTGCTGCGTCTGCGTGGCAGCAACTATTGTATTGGATCGCTCTGACGTGCCACAAACACGTCAAGCGACTTCCGAACATGTATTCAGTTCTCATGAAATGAATATTGTGAACGCTTTGCAGTTTGTTACTGATATATTTTTACATTACAATTTACCTCCAAGTAAACAAATTTTCCAATTGTGTTCTTTGACTTGGTGAAAAAAGTTTCTAGTTTATTAAGCCTTATTCGAAGGTAGCATCAAATAAAAAAAGAAAAGCAAGTTCTGATCTTAGAATTTATTTTATAGGATCCCATGAACAACAATTATTTCGCATATTACAGGGGGAACCACTAAAAAATCTCGTCTCGTATTTTATGAAGATCTGAGATAAGTTTTAAAAGATACAGTGCAAAGACATATAACTTGGGCAAATACAAAAAACTATAAGGGTCCCAATTATTGGAATTATTCAGTCACTGATGATCCATGAAGGAATACCAATCAAACTACATAAAATTTGCTATTACAGCAGATCGGTTATTATGTCGACGAAACGCTGTGATACGTTCGCTTCCGTTTGTGCAATCATATGCACGCCAAACAGACGCTGTCGAGGATCGACGATCGAAGATACGCCCAATGTATTTTTAGGAAACGAAATAGGAATGGTAACCCTATCTGTGTTATCGGTATACACTTGCGGGGTACTAGTGAAGGATAATAAGTAAGAATAAAGTCAGATCAGTCGGTCCATTGTAACGATTTTTCCTGGAATCAACCACGATGTTTTCTAGAGAGAAACTCGAGAAGGTAGACCTGACAGGATACATTGCTAGCAATTAGCAGCTCGATTTAGCGCTAGCCTTAAAAGTTACGATGGTAGTAAACTGTAGTGAAAAGTAATTAGTCTAAACTGAATGGAAATAGAATTCAAGGTGAATCTCCAGTACCAAGAATCCTCTAATACCAAGAATAACTGAATTCGTGCGTAGCAACTATTAGCGTACTATTACGCGATCTTTAGTACATTAGTATCTCGCGTGCCTCTGATTTACGTCGAGGAATTTACATAAAATACCTAATTACCTACGGTGTGTTTATAATGGGAGTTTCTTCTCTGTGTTGTAATAGAAGGGCGGAAAGGTTCTCGATTGTCCGCATGCAGACCAGCGTAGTGTGGAGCGAATCCACATGAGATGGAATGATGAGCTCAAATGTGTGCTCAAAGTTGTTTTAAAGAATTGGATGCAAGAGGTGCAGGATCGTAATTTATGGCATAATATGAGGAAGATCTGTTCAACAGTGGAGGATTGATTGTAATGATGACGATGACAGAATTTAAATACAACTAATTACTATTATTTTTCTTCTACAGAATGTAATATATGAACAGGGGAACAAAGAACGATAGGAGTAGAAAAAGTGTTTAAGATTTACGTACATACAACGCAAATGCAAAAAAATGTAGGTACAAAGGCGCCAGTCAGTCTGGCAATATAAATAGTCTGAAATAATGAATAGGCTAATGGTAACGTCCTTCAGTTAAGGGAAGATAGTCGATAATAGGCTGTAGACATTGTGCCTGTTTACGGAATGAATGAACGAAAATTCTTTATTGGCCCTTACAAAGAAAGATACAATTGCATAAAATATGTAGAATAGAATAAGAATGGAAATCGTTTATTCAAATAAACTTACATTGAAGCACTTTTGAAAAGTCATTACATTTTTTTTAATCTACCGCTCGTTCGCTCGTAGACAAATAGTATTATTATAAAATATTAATGACTAGTATTTACCACCGACATTCGTCCATGCCAATTACTATGTGTTACACCAAATTTCATGACGATTGGTTGAGCCGTAAAGACTTTAAGAGATAACATACTTTCACATTTATCATCATCGTCATATCAGCAGTTTACTGTCCACTGCTGAACGTAAGAGGGGTTCCTCATAAAGGGGGTTCTGCCAGTAGTTGCCACGCTTGGCAGGCGGGTTGGCAAACGCAGTTAGATTTTAGTAATGTTTTAACATGTTTTAGTTACAGCATTAATAAGGCTAAATGTCAATTTAATTGAAATTGTTATTCTTTTCGGTAATCAATACTTATCTTAAAAAATAATAATTAACACGGTCTCTATTAGAGAGCTTTTGGTTGAGGGATGGGCAGCAGTGTCCCTCCTAAAACATCACCAAAAGCCATACTACGGCTGTTAACCAGCCTGTCAAATGTGGCAACTACTGGCAAACCCTCCCTTATAGACCAGTGGGAGACTTTGTACAAAAGTCGTTTGCTTGGGCACCTCTGTGCCATTCGTGTTTCAATCGTAAAGCAGTTATGTTTGCGTGGCTGTGTTTCGGTTTGAAGGGTGGGATATGGCGTGAATTTACAGGGTACAGAGACATAACACCCGAGTTCTCAGGAAGTGCAACGCATGGGGGGGTATGATGGGCGAAACAGTATACTCTGTTATGTCCATGGTACTGCTCGTATCTATAGGCGACGGTTACCACTTTCCATCAGGTGGGCCGTCAGCTTGTTTGCCATTCTAAGTTGTATAAAAAACAGAGTACATTCAGTAGTGGACAATTAAAGGCTGATACAACAACTATCTCTGTAACTTAAAATCCACCCTCATCCCAGTGTATAAAATAAACAGGCTTCTTATCATACTTGTTTAATAAATAAGAAGCCAATAAAACGACTCTATAGTAAAAAATTAACTTTAATAAACCACTTCCATACAAAGCCGTCGTCGGAGACATTTTCGCAACCTAATCCGTTTGACAGTGTGAAATGGCCGTGACTTTATCGGTTCCCGCCATTTTTATCTAATGAAACAGACAGTGGGCG